GTCACACCTGGTGCCATTTTGACACGGCGTATGAATTTCTCGCCCAAGAAGTTACGGATTTCTATAACTGTATTATTCTCCGTGGTCACGCAATTGATAGGAAAGTGGGCGTATACAGCTCGCATTTTATATTGGTAGCCCTTCGTTACGCCTTTAAGCATATTCTCGATATGCGAGCACACCGTACGAACGGCAGCTAATTCCTTTTTCTTACCGTACCATTTTTCTACCTTCAGTAACCTCGGGCTGATCATCTGAAATACAGAACAAAGAATATTCAATTATTAAGACATAAATACAAATGTTGCAACATTTTGATGTAAATTGCAAATATTTCAGATGTGGATTTATCATTTATGGGAAATGAAGGGGAATCCAAATTCTCATCACAATGGATACAAATTACTCCAGTTTGTTCGTTTAAAATTAGACGATTACTGGAAGACAATTTTTCAAGAAGCACATCGTATCTTTTGTAATAATAATATTTCTACTTACACGAATGTCAAGCGCAAGGTGCTTGAAGGATCGCGTCAATGTACCTCTCGGTCCTTTCACCGTTACCAGACGGGACTTGACGTGAACAGTCAATCCCTCTGGGATTTTAACCGTTTGATTAGTAACGATTTGCTTCATTCTGTAACATAAATAATTTCATATATTTACACTTTTTGTAATTTACGACCTATGCCTAGACTGCCATAAGATATAGTACCCAGGTAGCAGAATAACGTCTAAACATGTCTAATTGACGTCTAGAGACGTCATTAAGACGTCATTTGACGTCACTCTGCTACCTGGATACTGTAATTATAGAATACAACAGTATTGACAGTAGCGATTATCTAGCTGTTAGATTTTTTCAAGTCCTGATAATTATGTTTTCATCAAAGAATACGATAAATATAAATTGAGTCGGAAAATACAAATATGTAGGTGTGTCTCTAATTACAAAAGTTTGAAAACTACGTGTTGCTACAATTGTTTATATTTACTACCCTTTTATCAATAAATATAGCACTATTAAAAATAAGGACTCTTATTCTCACTGCACAAAATAACTTGTAATAAGAATATATCGCTGGCAATTTTATCATAATACACAGGTGGAACACGTTCTTTACGATTCTCAATAGTTTACTAGCTTATAGGTTAGATCAGGTTAGTAGCGCTTAATACCACATGTTCACACGAATCGATAGATCAGATGGATGAATAGAAGTTGCGTGATTTTTCGCAAATTTGCGTATTAATTTTTCATATGTACCTTCGCTCGTATGCCTTTATTTAAATAAAAATACATGTGAATCTCAAAGCGACTCGACAATCATAGACGCGCGTGCACCTCGTTATTAGACGGCTAATAAATAAAAAAGATAATATTTTGCGGCGAAAGAGTGAAATACGACAATGCAAAAAATACACAGTGTCGAATTATTATATTCGACGCATCGACGGATTGCTGCGGATTCTACAAAATATTTTTCATCGTAAAAACTTGGTTACCTCGCGCTCCACCATACACCGGAAAAGATCGAGGCACGGCACGGACTCACGGAGACGGAGAGCAGTGTTCAGTGTTGCCAACTCGGATCGACATTATCCCACTAGAGGGCTTCGTGAAATTCTGCTAAAAACCGCTAAACTTCTCTGCGTTCTTTCCCGCCAGAAACCACTAATGGTGCATGCTTTTTCCACCAAAAACCACTACGCTGTGATCATTGATCAATAAGCCAATCACAAGACTCCTTGAGTATCCATTTTGAAAATAAGCTTTGTAAAACAACACTGTGATTGGCTTATCAATCATTACGCCGCTTTAAATACGCTCCATGGGACAGCCGATGTTTGTGCTGGCGTAAACGAAAACGAGCCT